GTGTAATTTTGCATTGTTCTTCTTCAGTGAATATTTTAACCTGAGCAAGTTATGAACATACTGCCATGGCTGTGGATGAAATGAAATGCTGCTGCTTTGTTCTCTGTGGAAGAGAATGTTCAAGAGAAGGAAATGTAAAAAGCAGCAGCAGAAGCAATAGTGGCTGATACTTAGCTGTGTGATCTTGAAAATGATTCTGGACACATTTCAGCATTTATCACCAAAGTCTGAGTTAGGGTGTTTTATCCTTCAGGAGGCATGTCTTTGAAAATGTGATGAAATTTTATCAATATTCTCCTCCTCAAATTTATAGGCACATTTTGCATTTAATTTCAAGGGATTCAAAACCCCTGAAATTTTTCCACAACCTCTTCCTGCCCACTATCTTTAGCATTGTGTTAAACACTGTTTTTTTTTAATATTTTTTGTTTGTAACTGGACACATATCTGTATTTATTTATTTCTATGTGGTGCTGAGGATCCAACCCAGGGCCTCCCACGTGCTAGGCAAGGGAGCACTATACTGCTGAGCCACAAACCCAGCCCAATGCTAAGTTTTTTGAGCTGATAATTTTCATGATTCTCTTAACAGTTTAAAGAGGAAAATCACTTTGTTGTGTTTATGGTGCCTACGCTACAGTTTCCATTGTAGAACCAACTATATTCTAAGATTCCTGGTTGAAGCAAAAGTTGTTTTTTGAGTTGTAACGTACTCTTAAAACTTAACAAATATTTCTACAGGTAAATCTGACAGTAAAAGGTGCTATAATCTTAAAATTTGTGGGAGGCAATGGGTTTGAAGTGGGTACGTGCACTACGTCCCACAGACCAAACCAATAGAGTTTAATCACAGTAACCAAGTTTTGGTAATTGGAGGCCTTAGTCAATCAACGGATTAAGTTACGATAAACAGGCCAGTCAGTGGACGAACCTATAATTTATTTTTCATGTCCCACAACCATTTTCCTATTATTGCTGTCTGATCACGTTGCTTGGAATTCTCAGAACTTGCTCTAGTTTGGGGACCTGCCCCATCTGCTAATCACATAAACTACTACACTTATTGGTCTAAATAATTTTCCTTTTAACAACAGTAATTATCCTGTGTGCTAACTTAGTTTCAATAAGTATTAAGGAGTACCATTACTTCTCAAAAAGCAGTTGAGACTTCTTTGTGGGAAATAAGGCAGGGTAAGGGACATTCTAGAAGCAACACCATAAAGTATGTGATATAGAAAATTTTATTAAGTTCTTTTCCCTTTTAGAATGGGAGACTACTACTATTGCATTAACTGCCATAGAGTAAGATGCCAAAAGTCATGTTTAAGATAAATTGAGACTTCAAAGAAACATCTTTATTCATTATCTGTCCCATGTCAAAGAGACACTTTCCCATTCCTGGGATTCTAGTGGTGTTCTGGAGGATGTCTTTACAGTAAATAGAAACTAAAGTCAAATAATTTGACTTTTTGTAACAGTAACATTAGTATCAACTCAAGGAAATGCTCTGTAACAGTGAATAGATTAGTTTGTTTATTGCATTTCAGTGTCTTGAGTGCTTACAGGTGGAGTAGCCAAAGTTGGCAGAACACACGCCCTTCCTGGCGCTGCCATGACAAAGCATCAAAGCGAAATCTTTCCCACAAGACCCAAACATGCATCACTTAAGATATGTACCGAGTTAAATAGGTATGGGCAATTCAGAACACCAGAGAAAACAAAAACATTAGGAAACAAAAGGCTCTAAGCACTGAAGGATTTATTACCATGCAAAGGGGGTGGGGTTGAAGATTAGAAATGAACTTATGCAAGAACCCCTGTCAAATGAATCTGATAAGGGAGTTAGGAGAACTGTATGATCTAAGATTTCCGCTAATGGGAGCTCGTGAGAAAGCTGCAATTCCCAACACATCCCTAAATCTCTACTTAAACCGTACGATTTAAAACCTTACATGTAAAATGCTTTTGTAAAACGTTTGCCCTTAAACTGGAAACAGGTGGGAGAGGGAGATGGTAACTGAAATAAACGTCAGATTTCCTTCTAGATTCTTCACCAACGATGACCGTGCCCTTCTCCCTCGAGTCATCTGTTCTTTGTACCCTTCAGGTGCGGGGTCATCCTCCCTCTCCAAGATGCTCCATAACGTTGGCCGATCTGACCCCGGGGTGAAGACGCGTGAACCAAGCTAGAGGGAAAGGTGTGCCTCGCGGCAGGATCCGGCCAGGGCCGGCAGGAACCCCGGAGGCCGACTTCTAGGGCCCCAAACTGAGTCCTGCGCGCTCACGCCTGTGGCTACGACCCCGGCGCTGGCACCGCCGGCTCCGGGAACCGAGAAGCTCAAGTCCCACTCTTTCTCGTCCTGTAACGACAAAAAAAGTCCTCCCTCCACCGCTGCCTGCACAAAAACAAAACCTAACATCTAATCACAACCCGTGAGGAAGCACCGAGATACTGATCACACCACAAC